TTTGTCGGGGGACGCTTGGCTTCTTGATGATGAGCCACCACACCCCACACCGGATTCTTCCATTCTTTTGATTCCGCCGGCATTGGGTGGTGATTCTGACCGGCCGTCCACCGGCCAACCCACTGATAAACTAGTGCATGCGCCGCCTTCAAGGCCCTGTGTATTGCGAGCTGATGGTAAAGAGCCCAAGGCAGAAGGCGGCAGAGAAGGGCAGTCCCCCCCTGGCACTTCAGGCCGCCAAATGGAGCGAGGACCGCCTGCAGCCGTTGAGCCCCAGCACACGGGGCCTTCCCCAGCTGCAGCAGATGTGAGCCTCTCAGATGAGTTCAGACCATATTATTAGCTAGCATGTCCGCATTCAATGCGTGTTGCCCCATGCTCTGCGCGTATTGGGAAAGCGGATGGGCGGCAGCCTGCCGAGTGCGTGCTCTGTTGTGTACCATCAGGTGACAAAGGAGTCTCCTCAGCCACCCGTAGCAGAAGCTCTTGCTCCTGCCGAAGAAGGAACGGCCAGCACATCCACAGCGCCAGTTGAGGATTCTTTTGCGTCTTCGTCCAGGACTTCTGCTGCCTCGCAGCAACTACCTTCGGGAGTCACGCCGTCTCAGGAAAGTGGATCAGCTGAGCAGGTAGGGCTTGCCGTATGTTATGGCAGCGCAAAGTAGGCCTATGCGAGACGCCAGCCACCGTTTCCCCGTTGTCACTGCAGCGGGAGTTTCTGCTGTTCACACAGCTGGTCAACGCCCAGCTCGCTTGGAAGCTGCTGAAGCACAGAATGCCGTACGACACAGAAGGCCGTACGGAAGTGTTGGTGTTGTGGTGTGCTATACTCAGTTGGCATCTTCGACAGAGCTGCCTACTGACGCAACTGTCATTTCCCACTTCAAGTGGCTCGGCGAGTTGTTTCCAGATATTCCAGAGAGCATCCTGAGGACGCACCCATTTTACCGCCACCCGGAAAATGAGCATATACGCATCTCAAGATCATTTAATGCACGGTCAGCACGGTTACGTCCGCCAGCCCAGAAGAGTCCCGGCCCAGCTCTTACCGTGTGCAAGGAAATACTGAAGAAGCTGTCGCTGTCCCCGCAGGATTTGATGCAACTTTTGAAACAAGCAGAACGCCTGTATGGATATGCAAGCCAGACCATGGCGTTGAACTACAGACGTGCCCAACCGCTGTACGCTATAGAAACCCTGGGAGCGATTTTTCTAGTTCTCGACACCCTCTATTGTGCAGCAGAAGTACTCGGGGATTACTCGATGAAGCAGGATTGGTGGCCCTCGATAGTACATCGCATTGAAGCTGCAAGGTTCGTCCCCAAGAAAGAACACCTACGATGTGATAAATCCGTGAGAAATCTTCACATCGCATTGACTTTGGACGCGGCGCTAGAGTACTACAGAAAAGGCATCCGCCCTCCACTTCTCATGGTGATAGGCTTAAAAGAAGCGCTTTTTTGTGGGCCGGGTTCGACTAGGTTCAAGTCCCCCCAATGGGACCCGTGGCGACAAGACGCCGCGCAGTGGCGAGTGTCCATACAGCCGATTGTGGCAAGGATCAAATTGTCAACAGTTTCGATGGGCGGAAAGGGATGAAGCAGTGCTCGAACACGGAAGCACAGCTACTTCTATGTTCATCCTGGAGGCTCCTTGTCGTGCAGCCTCAACAGGCGACACCATAGTGCCAAGAGGCCTTAAGAAACGCCGACCCCATATTTGAGTCGAATGCACACGATGTCGAATATTTTTGGAACTCCAACGGCTCATGACGTCAGGGTCGAGTGGCAGCAGTACAGGCGCAGAGCCGCCAAAGCATCCGTCCGTGCGTGCGTCATTCTGCCTGCCGTAGCCTTCACCACCCTGTTCCCTGTGAAACGCATGCTACTGCCTTATCTCCAGTATAAACTGTTTACATCTCCAGGGCGAAAATATGCAGACTGAAGGAACGAGCAACATCTGCTTACGGTGGATGCAGCATGATCTGTCTGAAGTTCGCAGTATATGTGTCTTGCTCGGTTGGCTACTGAGGGCTACGACCGTCTGCAACAGTTGCCTACAGTGTTAGTGCATGAATCAAAAGCCGGGTTGGGTCCTATGCTTGAATGTCGCGTTGCCATGCTGCAGGATGTACAGTAGCGTGTGTAGCAGATCATAGTAGGCCACCCCACTTTGCAACAGTCCCAGGGCTTGACGCGG